AATGTGCTCAGAGGAAAAAAAAACACATGCTGAGATAAGCTTTTATGGAAATATTATCATCTCTCTGATTCTTCTTGATACACCGTGAAAAGAAAACTGCTGTCAGGTTGTTGAGAGTAAGCAACTAGGACAAATGGCCAGTACTGCTTGTTTATTTTAAACAGATGCCCTCTACCATCATTTCAAAATGAGGAAGATAATCCTGTCTGTTCAGCCTTCCGTGAACAGTGGTTTAGACACGCTGCTGCACTATAACATTGAAGTAAGTTGCTATCACATATCTTTCTCAATTAACACTATTGCACAGATGTCCCAAGGTAAGGCTACTTGGAAACACCTATTCAATGGATATATTCTTACATGTACTTCCAACCAACCACATTTTCCACTAAGTAAATCTTCACATGCACCAATCCTGTTTGGGGGAGTTCTGGTCCTAAGAAACACTCTCTGAAACCTAAATGCCAGGACGTCAACTACATCACGGACTCTCAGCCTCCCCCCAAATCAGATGTAATGCAAGTCACATCAACTTCTGTTAGCAGAGGTGGACTCAGACATGCCACAAAGTGCTCCAGCAAGATGGCCCCACACAGTTGGTAAACCCGCCCTTTTGCTCTTAAGAGCTTAGGCTGACAAAATTGAGCTGGAATAAGTGAAATCAGCACTAGAAATAAGCGAAATCCGCACTAGAAATAAGCTGTGGACAAAGTCTCTGCATCAGTCAAAGCACTTCTGGTACAGTCATGGCCAATCAGTAATCGTGAAATTGTTGCCAATTCACAGTCTACTCCAAGCTCAATGGAGCCATTAACTAGCCCACAAATAGAGCATTATTTCTGGTGATCTTCATTAGGCACATCAGAAAACAGGAAAAATGTGGTGCTTCAAAACAAAACGAGGCAAAGGGGATAGCTTGAGACTGGACCAACATCTTGCTAATCTGGATGATGTATTTGAGGGTTTTTTCTAGTTTTGACAGTGGATCCTACATGCTAGGAATAAGAATAGTTACTTATCTGAACACGTAAAGAGAATAATTTTGCTCAAGTTTAAGGTGCTGATTTTTCTTAAGCAGAAAACAAAAATACTCTGACCCAGCATGTGAAGTTAATAGTGAAATATCAGCATCAGGAAGAAAGTAAAGGAAATAACACACACTTGGTTCAGCTGCAATAAAAGCTAGTTCAGTGGCTGAACTGCACTAACTCTTTCAAAGATGTGTACATTGTAAATGCATGGCTTCATTAGCACCATCCAAACACATAAAATACATGTCCTGCCTCTCTTCCTTACTCTGGCTTGGTCCTAGATTAGGATGCTGAAGTTGTAAATTCCAGAGGAGAATGCTTTGGGTCTGTAAACAAACCCGTGGGTTTGGTGTGATAGTAACAGCGGAGCACTCACGACAGCACAACAAAACTTGGAGGCCACCTGGAAGCTTGTCACAGCTGTTGTTTACTACAGATCTTTGCAAAAAAAATCAGCTCAATGGGGAGCGGGGAGTTGAGGGTACGACTACTCAGGGGAAGCGTGCTGGAGGGGCAGAGGGCACTGAGGAAGCAGGGGAAGACTTCAGCTTGCAAAAATAACCCTGTGATTCATCTACTACTTTCAATACTACTTCACTTTTGGGTCCATTTCAAGGTCTCATTTCTTTATGACAGCTCCCATGTTTAGGGATTAAGTCCTCTGGTCTCTCAGAAAGCCACCCCTGTGTCACCCATTTAGGCAACGCTCATATCCCCTTTGGGAGCTGACATCATCCCCCTCTCTTACGCTCGATCGTTCACCAGAAAATAAAGCAAACTCTTAACCAACACGTCTAAAGTAAAAATCTAAATGATGCTTAAGCAGTGTGTCATCGTCACATGAAATAATGAGGTCAGGTCAAACTTTCTGCATCTTTCCTCCCCTCTGCTTGACCTCTATCTTCCACAAAAGCTATAGCTGTGTCTTCACCCAGTTCCTGAGTCCGCCAAGCAGGCAACCGGCACGCGGCTGTGTGGGAAACAGAAGCCCTCTGGGTTTTCTCACCGCCTGTACCAAACTAGTCAGAGCTGAA